GTGGAGTGAGGGAACAGTTTCTGTGGAATAAATATGTGTGTGTGTGTGTGTACATATTTCAATCCAAATCCCAACCTCAGAGAAAAGCAACATTCTGTGAAAAATAAATAAACAACAACAACAAAACAACAATAATAATCATATATATTTATACAGAACACTTCGGTTTTAGGGATATTTTGAGATGATTTTGGTGTCTTGCAGATTTACACACACACATGTCAATACACATAGTATGTGTGAGGTGTGTGGGTGTGTGTGTATTTCTACCCAAATCCTGACCCCAGACAAATGCAGTATTCTGAAAAAAAAAAAAGAAATAGATTTTTTTTGGTTTCTTGCAGATTCACAGGAACACACACACATGACAATGTGTGTGTGTGTGTGTGTGTGTGTGTGTGTGTGTGTGTGTGTGCATGTGTGTACAGTAGTCTGAAGTCTTTATTAAGGATAAAATATTGTGCTTATAAACACATTAGTTTTTACAGCAGGACTGAAATTGTTTACTCACAGGTTAAAAGACACTGAACTGCATCTTTACATGTTAATACTGTTTATCTCTCACGGTTTGGTTTTAGTGTTTTATCTCACTGCCTCAGCGTTAATACTGTTTAACTCACACTGTAAGAATCTTTGGTCAGCTTTAGTGTCAACAAGAGAAACAACATAGACATAATAAAATGAAGCTAAAATTACAGTACAGTTCATAACAGTTCAATAAGTTACTGAACAGAGCACAATAACGCTGAACTCACAATAAACCTTGCAACTTCACTGAACTCCTCTTAAAACAACACAGAAATGTAAACAGCAATAAACGTCAACAAGAAAATTCACTTATGTATTAAACATACAGAATGACATGAGGTGAATCCCGCACCTTTCACTAAATTCTCTCTCGCTCACACACACACACGCACACTGATCTATAATGATTTTCATTTTAAACAGAAACATTTCATTTTCATATCTAATCAAGCGTTCATCCACATAGACCTTCTGACAGGAAATTAGAATAAAAACAATGGAAAAAAACCAATAGTTAAATTTCCAAATGATGTGTTTGACTATTTACAGTCTTTTCTTAAAGCATTCAGACCCTGGAGGAGCAGACAAAATGAAATCAGTCTGAATTAAAATTTGATTGTAAAGGGAAATTTTCTCTTCAGTCTGTTTTGAGGATTTTGTCCTTGTTCTCAATAAAACTGCGATACTTCTCTTTTCCAGCAGGTGTCAGCCTGCACCGCTAACACCACTAAAGCGAGCGATGTCGGTCTGTCTTCTACTCTCGCTCGCTCTCTCTCTCTGCATCTTTTTCTCTCTCTCTTTCTGTATCTCTATCTCTTTGTCTCTCTCTTTCTTTTTCTCTCAGTTGTTCCAGGTTAAGTTTGTACTGATTGTCAGACATTAAGGTGTGTGTGTTTAACACAGTTTCTCGGTTTCACATCAAATTAACACAAACACACGCATACATACACACACACTCACACACATACACACACGCCCACACACACACTCACACATACACACACACACACACACACACACACTCACACACATGCACACACACACACGCACATGTGAACTCAGTAATCAGAGCCGAATCTGAGCGTCGGAGCTCTACATTTCATTATGAACACTGCATGCCGGTTTTAGAATAGAAAAGATCTGAGTTTTTTAAGATTTTACATTTTTCCCAAATGATTTGGCACATTATTGCAAACTTTTTTAAGTAATTAATACAATGATCTAAGTTTAAATAAGTCTTTTCATCACCTCTGCAGAACTATAATGATCATTTTTAGGAAACATGAAAATCACAAAATTTGATTCTGACCCTTCTCCTGACCTTACCCCTGACCTTACCACTGACCTTTCCCCTGACCTTACTGCTGAGCCTACTCCTGACCTTACTGCTGATCTTACTGCTGACCCTACTCCTGAGCCTCCTGCTGACCCTACTGCTGATCTTACTGCTAACCCTACTCCTGATTCTCCTGCTAACCCTACTGCTGAACCTCCTGCTGATCTTACTGCTGACCCTACTCCTGATCCTCCTGCTAACTCTACTGCTGACCCTTCTCCTGACCTTACTGCTGACCTACTCCTGACCTTACTCCTGATCTTACGGCTGATCTTACTGCTGACCTTACTGCTGAACTTACTGCTGACCTTACTGCTGACCCTACTCCTGATCCTCCTGTTAATCCTACTGCTGACCCTCCTGCTGACCCTACTGCTGATCCTCCTGCTGATCTTACTGCTGACCCTCCTTCTGATCCTCCTGCTAAACCTACTGCTGATTCTCCTGCTGACTCTACTCCTGATCCTTCTGCTAACCTTCCTGCTGACCCTCCTGCTGACCCTACAGTAATGGGACAGCCCTTAAGATGGTGTATTAAATACAGTATTGAAACCAAGTGCTAAAATGGACGTTAGCTACTAGCGGACCGCTTGGCTATCAGGGAGAGGAAAGTTAGCATTAGACACTGTTAACTAGCATTTATTTTAGAGTCATGAGGTTGCAGTTCACTGCAATTATGACATCACCATGCACAGACAGCTCTGATATCATACACGGCTTGCACACATTAGCTGAAAAGTCAGTGGCACCACAAAGTATTTGGACACCTGTGCCATGCTTGAAAATGTATTTAGTTCATTGTGTTTGGAAACAAAATGGCATTTATATAAAATAGACCATTCAAAGACTGACATTTTCTTTTGATAAAGTATAAAAAAAAATTACACAGTTATTTCTTTGCAGATCTTCTGCAGGTTCAATCCAAAATGTCTTTGCACACTTTGAGTTCATGATCCATCAGTAACCATGAGCTCAGCGACAGGGGTCATTCTACAGAAACGTCCATTTTTGTGTCCGTAGCGTTTACAGATATATTTGAAAAACATGTCAGGGTTACAAATCCATTTATATTTTAAAATAAAACAAGTTATTTTAACAATTACACCTTCTTGAGCTGTCAATTTAGCAATAAAGCTTTTTAAATCAATTATGTAGGATTCCAAGCACCACAGAAGTGCTCGTCCCCACAGTCATGTGTAAAGGGTGCGTGCCATATTTTGAGATAAAAATCAATGTTTTTTCTACAATTTTAACTGCAATATTCTGTACATGACTATAAAATATATGAATTAAATGACATAAGGAAAACAAAGGCCAAATAAATATTATTAAATATATAATGAAAGTTGTTGTCCCCAGGAGAATACTGATGTGTGACACCTGTGAAGTTGATCAGATGACCTTCTCAGTTTAGTTTATAAGCCCGGGCTTTAGTCATAGAAAGTTGCGAGGTATTGTTTCCATTTGCGAACTACTGAGCGTTATATCTATTGTGTATGTCTGTGAATGACCTGTACTTTTCGTTTCTCCGACTCTGCCTTTTGCTCTGCCCTCTGGATTGTTTGCCCTGGATCTCTGATTTCTGATTTTTGCTTGTTTTTTTTGACTACGCCTTCTGCCTATCCCTTTTGGATTGTCGCAAGGGTGATATGTTTGTTTGTTTGTATCTGCTGTGTCTTCTGGATTTGAACCCTGCCTGTTTTTCGACTACGACCTAGGACTCTGATTTCACTAGTAAAGCCTCCTTTTTGTTCTTTACCGCAAGCGTCTGAATTCTGTTGAATTGTTACATTACAGCGTAACAAAAAATCTATTTTGAAATAAAAATCACACTAATGACACCACTTCACTTCCTTTTACCTATTTGCTGAGGATCTATAAAAAGCACACTGTGTCTTTTCAGTTATCAGAAATTATTTTGCTCATTATTTCAGATGAAGCTTTTAGTTGAAGTCACTGGTATGATTTATTTTATTCTTAGGTAATTGTGAAAAAATACGAATAGATTAAATTACATATTTTAGTGGCTATTCCATGATTGACAACATGTGGTTTGATGCTCTGTAGCAGCCATTTTGTAAAATGCATTTTTCATTAAAAATGTCACTGGTGTTACTGTCTCTGGTGTTATCTTTCTTGTATGTAACACCAGTGACACCTATGGATAGATAGAAAAGTGGACATTTCTGTAGAATGACCCAGAGCACTGCAAGAAAAACAGCTCCAGACTTTGATGTTTTTCAGAGGTTCAGTCTGGTCTGCAGGATTTCTCCTGCAAGAGTTACCATCGGTCTGAGGTGGTTTTCCTTCAAACACCTCAGACAAATGCTATTTTATTCAACATTTTATGAAGTAACCTAAAGTTTACCAATTGCTGTATATCTCTCTAGTGTGACTGATGAGGACAAAAATGGACATGCATGTCACTGCCTTAAGTCTACAGTTTATACAGTATATATGAGGATTTTGTGCTGGTACAATTTAGTAGATTCTCCTTTCAGTGCAATCAAGGGTCAGAGTGAAACTGTTGTCTGAATGTCTCTCAGGACGGGGGCAGGGAAGTGTGGAGGGGAATTCTGGGAGCACCTTCCTCTGACAGGATCAGAGTGCAGGGTTTGTGTTTTGGTTGTGGCAGCAGAAAGAAACAAGGCAGCTGACTTTGTACAGAGAACAGTGAGTACCAACTCTGAACAAAAAAAAAAAGCAATGAAAATATGAGCGGCTTATATCAGATCTACGAAAAGATGCTGATAATTTTCTTTTTGGAAAGAACCGCAATGGGGAAATAAACGTGATAATGCGCTTACATACACAGATTTAAAAATAAGTTACTTTACTGGTAAATCTTTTCATAAGTTAAATAAATTTGTAAATTATACTCTTGACTACTGCAGTTATATGAACAAAAAAAATTTGCTTTTGTAACTGCCATGAAAAAAAAAAACAAACAAAACTGAAGCAATAGTTTTAGCGAAAGACTATAAGTGTTTTACAGCTAGAAGCTTATTTAGCAAAATGTGCCAAATCTATCAGGAAAATTGTACCACGGTGGAAATGTTTACCGTCTTAAAGCCAAACACTTTTCAAGCCACTTCTGTTTCATGCTAATGATTTACAGTGATGAAGATTTCACAACTGGTCACTTCTCATGAAAAAGCTCTGACAAATGATTTCAGAATCAAACTCTTTAGTCATTCAGTGATCAGTTGGAGCTGGACATGTTTAGATGTAGCAGCAGGTTCAGGATCAGTGAGTGAGTGCTAGCACTGGGCAATATGGTAAAAAAGTTTATATTTTTTAACCATTTGGTGATAAACAATTTATATTGCATGTTCTTTCTGAAATGGCTTAAATGGGAAGAGCCATCCAATTAGAAGAACCATCACTTGGACTAGATAGCCCTTATGAAATATGCAATCCTGGATGTAAACAAATGATTGCCAAGCATATTCAAAATGTTAACTGCAATAAGAACTCAAATTCAGTAAACATCTATTTAGAAATAATCAAGGTCTGATTTCAACTAACAATAATAACTCTTTCTCTTGTGCTGTTGCTGATAGAGGTGGGAAATTTGGATCCTCTGCTAGATCCTTCACTGCTTCACTCATGAATATGGCGTTTATAATGTTGCCTAATTATGGTATATCATGAAAATAAGATGCATCGCTCTAGTGATTGCTAAGAGTGAAAGGAGTTTTTACTACAACCGGTTAACAGCTCTTTTGCATGAGATGTTTGATTTCTTGAGTTTAATCCTTTCCAGAAGAAATTGTGCCACAGTACCCAGCTGAGCTGATCTACGAGACTCAATCCAGGTCTGTTTTGTTGAAACTGCCTATAACTAACACCAGCCTACACATCCTTCTTCTGACTGTCTCCCATGAAGGGAAGTAGACCAACATCTGCCCTGCAAACTTTAAATGGAATAGACTACATGCATGAGAAAGAATAATTTCTGAGCACCTCAGAACAGCCAGTTCTGCTATTTGTGATGATGAATGTTTGGAGACTTTGTGGAGGTCTGTGCTTTTCTGTTGACTCACATTTCACTCTGTAGTTTAATGCAGTGTTCATTGGACAAATCACTGTTTTTCAACAACACAAACAAACTTCCTATGTGAGAGACAAGTTTGTTTCTTCTGGGTTCCTCTATTCCTGGTTGAGGACAGGGAGGTTGCGGTGTAAATTTGGGTTCTGGCTGTGACGGTTGCGGCTCCTGACGGAGGAGAAGGTGGTATCGCATCCTGGTATTTTGCACTTGTGTAGAAGCCGAAGATGCACGGTTTTATAGTGCGCCCTGAACGTGCCCTTGTTGCTGTAAACCTTCTGGCAGACATGGCAGGTGATGGGCGAGGAGCTGTGGAGCTGCTGAGCAGCTGGAGATGCAGACTGACCTGCGGCCAGCCCATCGCAGCTCTCATCACTGTCCTCTAGAGGGAGCCCTTCCTCACTGCCAGCATCAGAGTCCCAGGAAGGGGATTGACTACTTCCTCTGGTACTCAGGTCCAGCACAGTCTCATCCTCCAGCACGTCCTTTGCTGGACCTTCCACATTTTCCACTGCTTTACTCATGGGGAACACTAGGCCCATACGGTTACTCCCCTTAAAGATCACAGACGCCTGGCTCAGAGTCTCTTTATGAGTAAGATCAGAGGAAGTGTCACTGGAAAGGTCTCTGCATGACGTGGTGAATGCTGCACCTGATGTGCTGTAATGATCTTTGGTCAGTAGCTTGTGATGCAAATTCAAATTTGCACTGTGTCTGGAAAAAAGTACACATTGAATAAGCTTTTATTTGGAAAGTAAAATGCATTTTTGCTGTGGTGTGCAGTGGTTCTTAAGCCTGCTTCTGAAGTAGCCTTTCTTTCAGCACACTGTACTTCTCTAACACACTAACTTCCACTCAGAAAATACTTGTTAATTTGGTGATTAGTTGATGCAGTGCTTATTAATTTGTTGATTAGTTGATGGTAGAAGATAGAAAACATCAAAATATGACAGAGGTGCTCCAGGACGAGGGTTAGGAACCACTGATGTTTCTCATGTGTTTACAGAGGTATAGTTAGAGTGGTAGCAGTTGCTCACCTGTCTCTGCTCCTGCGTGAAGGGAAGGCAGCGTTGCAGCCAGCGACGGTGCACATGTGCATCTCCTTCAGGTGTACACTGCGGTAATGCATTTTCACACTGTAAGGGTTTTTGAATGTTTTATTGCAGCTCTCGCATTGATGAAGAAGGTCATCTTCCTCGTTATCTTCGCAAGTCACTATCTGCAGGTCTTCACCACCATCTGCACATACAGCTCTTAGATCATTTTTGCTTATCTCTGCATCTTCTTCTGTTTTGCAGGGTGTTTTTTTCAGCTCATTTTCCCCACAGCCAGCCTCACGGCAAGTTTGGTCTTCTGGCTGCTGCGACACCCGGTCCCAGTCGCAGGGGCAACAAAGGTCTCTTTGGCTGCCACTGAAGGGAGATGGGCAGCCCATGATACAGCTCTCATTCTGGTTGTACTTGGTTTCTGACTGGTTCCTCTCTGTGTGGGATAGCTGAGTTTGGATGGTCTGAGGGACAATGCCGTGCTCATCACATTCAGTCTGTACCACATACTCCATCCCAGCGTCTGTGCTGGCAGGCAAGCTCTCGTCTTCATCGGATCCACTGCCCTCTGCCAGCTCATCCTTCTCTATTTTTATTGGCATGCTGGACTTGCGGGATTTCTTCTTGGGGACAGACTCTGTGTTGTTCCCTGTCTCTCCAACACTGACGGAAACGGAGGAGGAGAGCAGAGGAAGGGAGGGCAGGTTTCCAGGTGTGTTGGCCAGCTCTGCAGGAGTCACTAGGCTGCGATAGAATGGCAGAACAGGCTGCACTGTTTTCAGGTTGGGAAAGAGGATGCCACTGTGGCTGACACTGGGGAAGGAGCTGTGCAGTTTGGGCTCAGAACTGATGTAGCCAGAGACAGACCTGGTGCTGTCTGCTGAACTGGTTGCTGCTCCAAACTCCCGCTTCTCAGCTTGAGGGCTGCTCGCCTCCCCCTCACTCAGGCCACCCCTCAGGTCCTTGTCCCGGTTGTTGCGGTTCATGGGCATGTGCAAGCGTGGGTTGGGGTTGGCACTGTGCCGGTTGCGGCTCCGCAGAGAGCTGAAGACCATGTTGCAGCCCTCGATTGTGCATTTGTGTTTGATTTTGAGATGTACAGCGTTGTAGTGGATCTTGAGTGTGCCCTTATCATAGAATGTTTTCTCGCAAGCGCTGCAGATCACACGACCTTTCTTCATCACTGTGCTTTTCTCTCCTGGACGGATTTTTGATTCTGGGGACATCTGAGTGATGTCAGAGCTGATGGAGGGGGTGCAGGGCGTCGAGGGCGAAGAATAGTTATCACTGATTGTGAAATCATCAGATTCCACCTTGGTGCTTGCTCTCTCTAGATGGACTTCTTCCCTCTCTGGGTCAGAGATGAAGTGGGTGGAGTTGTCAGGGCTCAGCTCCAGAGTCTCATGTCTCACCGGTGCCTCCTGCAGACTGGAGTCCGCTCTGGAACTGAGCAGTGGAGCAGGGGCGGAGTTGAGCAGTTGCAAAGGCAGCATGAACGCCATGCTGTTGACTAGACTCTCAAAGTGGTGACCGTTGCTTCTGCTCAGAGGCTCTGATTTAGGTGGTGGGGCCGTAGGACGCTGCATGCTGCTCTCTATGAAGCTGCGGATGTCGGAGTTGGCCCTGGCTGTTGGCACGATGACCGCCTGCCCTTCTTTGTCCTGCAGAGCCATCAGCTCCACGATGGATTTGGTCTCTCCAAAGCGTAGAAACTGTTGCAGCGTTGCAATCTCTTCTTCAAAGGTCATAATGGCCCAGCGGTCCAGCACTTTGCCAGCCACATCCTACACAGCATGCATGGAATTTCATTTGCATTACGTATCAAAGCTCATCCACTTGGGACCTCAAATACTCGATAACTCTGACAATCTGACAGAACTCCTAAATAAAGAGTTGTCAATGCATCTAATGTATCAGGACATGAAAGCTCTAATTACTGCAGCACATCTGGAACATCATTTTTCTTCATTTGGATGATCTGGGCTTCCCCGGTGAGGGAGTTTCAGTGGGGGGGAATCAGACAGGCGAGCCGTGAGGCTGCTTGTAATTACACATGAGTGCTAGCAGTCTTTCAAAGTCATGCAGCAGCTTCATGCCGTAACCAAGATAAATATTTCATCATACAGCATTCATTTACACGTCTGTGGAGTATTTGACTTTACGTTCACCGTTAGACAAGCTAACGAAATTAAACACAACCACCTGAATACTTAACGATCAGCAAATTAAATAGAGACCTGCGCTCTCGCTTTAGCCTTTTTGAGGGAAAATGTGACAAAATTGTATTTACACACTTCACTATGATCTCTCTAAAACTGGGAGCTGAATAAGACAAATGTGCGTGTGTGTGTGTGTATGTGATATTTGCTGATATAATCTGCCACAGATTAAGAGATCTCATTATAAGGAGAGGGAAATGTAGAGACTTTTTTTGTTTGTGTAGTAATTAAAATGTGCAGACGTTACTCCCGACGTAAAGTTCTAAATTTAAGTTCTTACTCTTCTGGTCATTAGAGAGATGTTAATTCTGTGATCTTCCCTGTCGTTAATGGTGTCTAGTTAACTGCCCGTTATATCTTTTAAGTCTTTTGGCTTTTTTCTATTTTTCATGTACCTGCATGTACTCAGATTTCCCCCTGGCAAAAAAATGAGCTTTTGTCTTATTAGAAGATATAAATCTGTAGTGTGTGTAGTTTTTACAGTCTGAGAATAATGATTGTAGAGTGATTTTAATCCAGTATGAATCTGCAGTGAGTGTAGTTTTTACTGTCTGATGGTAATAATTGTGGAGTGATTTTAATCCAGTATGAATCTGCAGCATGTGTAGTTTTACAGTCTGACAGTAATAATTGTGGAGCGATTTTAATCCAGTATGAATCTGCAGTGTGTGTAGTTTTACAGTCTGACAGTAATAATTGTGGAGCGATTTTAATCCAGTATGAATCTGCAGTGTGTGTAGTTTTTACAGTCTAATAATTGTGGAACGATTTTAATCCAGTATGAATCTGCAGTGTGTGCAGTTTTTTACAGTGTGACCGTAATAATTATGGAGTGATTTAAATCCGATATGAATCTGCAGTGTGTAGTTTTTACAGTCTGACGATAATAATTGTGGAGTGATTTTAATCCGATATGGATCTGCAGTGTGTGCAGTTTTACAGTCTGACAGTAATAATTGTAGAGCGATTTTAATCCAAGATGAATCTGCAGTGAGTGTATTTTTTACAGTGTGACGGTAATAATTATGGAGTGATTTAAATCTGATATGAATCTGCAGTGTGTAGTTTTACAGTCTGACGATAATAATTGTGGAGTGATTTTAATCCGATATGGATCTGCAGTGTGTGCAGTTTTACAGTCTGACAGTAATAATTGTGGAGTGATTTTAATCCAGTATGAATCTACAGTGTGTGTAGTTTTTACAGTCTGACGGTAATAATTGTGGAGTGATTTTAATCCAGTATGAATCTACAGTGTGTGTAGTTTTTACAGTCTGACGATAATAATTGTGGAGTGATTTTAATCCAGTATGAATCTACAGTGTGTGTAGTTTTTACAGTCTGACAGTAATAATTGCAGAATGATTTTAATCCAGTATGAATCTGCAGTATGTGCAGTTTTACAGTCTGATGGTAATAATTGTGAAGCGATTTTAATCCAGTATGAATCTGCAGTGTGTTAGTTTTTACAGTCTGATGGTAAAAACTATGGAATTGTGTGTGTGTGTGTGTGTGTGTGCGTGTGTGCGTGTGTGTGTGTGTGTGTGTGAGAGAGAGAGAGACCTGGAGTACGTATCCACGTATGTAGTCCTGCAGAGTCCAGTCGAGAGCACTGAGGATCTGAATGACCTCATCCTGCTTCAGGACGCTGAACAGTCGGTCCAGAAGGATTTTCAGGCGGACGGGAATGGCCTGAGTGCCGTATAGCATCAGACTGCAGATATCAAACACCACGTTGGAGTGAACAATCTCCACCTGACTGCCCTGGTACATGTGATGCACCTTCAGCTTGCTCAGGGCTGCAACATGGAGAACACACACACACACACCGTATTTGGATCAGAGTGAGTGTGTTTTTTATCTCAGTACATTTTCACATGCTGTACAGATAGAGAATATGATATTCGTAGTAATTATAGAAAATTTACAATAAATAAATAATGTGTGTGTGTGTGTGTGTGTATGTGTGTGTGTGTGTTTATCTAGTTTAAGCTCTGGTTGGCCCACTTCAACAGATAACCACAACTCTATACACAACAATACCAATAATTTACAAATTCATTTGCTCTGTTTTCTATATTTATACATTCAAAGCCAAAAGAATCTATTTCAGGTTTTTTATTTTTCCTCTTGCTTTTAAACTTTACAGTCAAATAACTGTACATTTTAGATTTTGTGCTAGTTTTATGGAATTTGACACAAATATTCTGGCCCATGAGGTGCAAAAAATCTAATCCATATCCTTAAAGCCAGAACATGGTTCTTACAATCCAATTTTTTACCTCAAACTGAAGGAGACTAGGAGAGAAGTGCTTTCACATAGCTTTTAATAAGTTTTTTTAATATATATACAAAAATAAAGTAAAAAGCATGTAGTCAGAATAGGGTGTATGGAGGGTGTAACTGGAGATGAAGAGATGACGGTCCTGAAGATGAACCCTTGATGGTACGACCTCAGTGACAGTTTAGTACATAGTTTAGTTTAGTACTTACAAACTTGCCATCTAAATTTTTCTGTCTGCAAACATTCTGTGTTTTTATGACTTGTTAGGATTTTAAAACTCATATAGAGTATTAAAAGCTTAATAAGCTCAGGACTGACCCACTGTTTGTTCTTTACTGACATCTGCTGGTGGAGAGATCAGTTTTTACAAATCAGCTGTTTAATTAAACCCCCAACTTTACTGCAGATGTGCTTGTATGTGAGTGTGTGTGTGTGTTGGGGGGGGTATGGGTGTGTGTGTGTGGCTCTGTGTCTTACCGTGAGCAACCCAGCCGTGTCTGCAGTTTTCACACTGTCGGCGTCGGAGCTTCCCCGGACTGAAACTGTCGCAGGAACAGTTCACCATCGTACAGCAAATAGCCTACAACATGCACCACACACATACACACACACACAAACACACACACACACACACACACACACACACACACTGCTGTTCATCAGGTCATATAAGATGTGTGTGTTTATGTTGATGTTTTTACTGTAATCCTATTTTATTTTTATTTTTGTTTTGTGTTAAACATTTTTTGGTATAAATTGTATTTGGGGTTGAATTCTGTTTGGTATTAGTGTTTGATTGGTGTTAAATTGTGTTTGGTGTTGCATTTTGTTTGGTATTAGTGTTTGATTGGTGTTAAATTGTGTTTGGTGTTGCATTTTGTTTGGTATTAGTGTTTGGTGCTAAATTGTGTTTGGTGTTGAATTCTGTTTGGTATTAGTGTTTGATTAGTGTTAAATTGTGTTTGGTGTTGAATTCTGTTTCGTATTAGTGTTTGGTGTTAAATTGTGTTTGGTGTTGAATTCTGTTTGGTATTAGTGTTTGATTGGTGTTAAATTGTGCTTAGTATTGAATTCTGTTGGTATTAGTGTTTGGTGTTAAATTGTGTTTGCTGTTGAATTGTGTTTGGTATTAGTGTTTGTTTCGTATTAAATTGGGTTTGTTGTTGAATTCTGATTGGTATTAGTGTTTCTTTGCTATTAAATTGTGTTTGGTGTTGAATTCTGTTAGGTAGTAGTGTTCTTTTGGTACTAAATTCTGTTTGGTGTTAAATTGGGTTTGGTATTAGTGTGTGTTTGGCATTAAATTCTGTATGTTGTTGAATTATGTTTGGCATTAGTGTTTGTTTGGTGTTGAATTCTGTTTGGTGTTGAATTCTGATGTCGGTGTGTGTCTGGTGTTAAATTGCATTTGATGTTGAATTCTAATCGGTTTTAGTATTTCCTCCTTATTATTTGTTCACATTTGTTGCAGTAATTCTGCTGTGTTTCTGTTTACATCACAGTGTCCAGTCTCTGGTCAGTAAAGTCTGGTGGGTTGTCTACTGATATTAAAACAAGAGCGCTGTAATGAGAAACAGTGCTGAAGCCCAGCTGAAGTTCGGTTCCTCTGAGGGAACCTTCCTCATAACAGGAAACAGTGGCATCATATATTCTCTGTGTTCATGTACTTACAAAGTCTATAATGAAAATTAAAACTGAATCTGATTAAACACACGTGGTCTGTCATTTATACATTTTATTTATGTCCAAAACTTTTACAGTTACTGTGCAGTTAATTAAAAGAATTCAAAGTGTTTGTGTTATGTTGTGTAGGTTTTTACAAACTTTCTTGCAGTATAAATAAAGTTGAATTTTGGAAAAATAAAACAAATTTCACAAACAGCCTGTTATCTATTTATTTTTTTGTGTGATGTTAAACTCTATAAGTGTGTTTGCTGTTTAATTTTGCTGCTGAATTTTGTTTGCTATTAAATTTTGTTTTTTAAGTGGTCAGCAGCTGCTCGTTCCCAGAGGATAGTAATGTTTTTTATACATGTATTTAAATCTTACACAAAACTAATGTTGCAAAGGTTAGAAACCGAGCTGTAATTTGAATTTGTTTAGTAATATATTAGTTGTTTATAATTTTGTGTACATTAAATAACCAACATTAATTTGACCCTAAAAGTAATGTATCATTGAAAGTAAAAGGCTGAAGGAATTTGTGCTTTAAAGTATGATTAATATCACAGGTAATAATGCAGAAATGTGGAAAATCTTGGAAAAAAACATAGAGAATAAAAAACAGCCAGCTTAACAAATAACAACAGAACTCATGAATTATAAAAACATTTTTATGATTCACAAAATCCAGCCTGAGACAAATTTATATCATCTAAAACAAACACAAGCACTGTATTTAAATTTAAATAATATTCACATATAATAAAAATATAAAGTTGAATTTAAAATTTCAAAATAAGCTGAATTAACTAAGCAGAATTCATATGCAAAACTGATAAAAATGTATCAAGTTCATCAAATAAATGTTATATTTAATAGCAATGAAAGAGTAAATATCTGTAATTATTATAATATTCAGATGAAGCTTTATTATCTGTTCAGGAACTGCGTGTGTGGTTAGAAACAGCTGAAAAAAAATCAGAATAAAAAATTTATCAAACTGTCAAAATAGTGATCGAGTTCTGAAAATTTTCTGAAGAATCTGAAGATTTACTGAAAAGACCTACACACACATACTACCACAACACACCTTCTCAAATGAAAAATGAAGAAACTTTTTTTAAATCAGCTTTAAAAATCCCCCATAGAGCAGCTTATTAATGGGTCTCCTGGAGACCCTCAAACTCAAAATATCTCCTCATAAAATAAACTATAAATAATATGCAATATTATAAAATTCATGCAATAAATAATTCTGAATATTCTCGAATATGAGTGTGTGTTGTGGGGGGGGGTCACCTACAGCTCCATCAGGCAGTGGACAGAGGAGAGTCCAGCAGTGTCAGACAAACACAAACACAAACACACACACACACACACACACACAGCAATGTAGACACCAATCACAATCACACCCCCTCTGCCCTCACACACACACACAGACCAGAGCAATCAACACAGTGCAACACCAACACCAACGACTTTGAGAGACAGAGAAGAAACTCTTAAAAATGAAAATGCAAATTAAATAAAAAAAAAATAATAATAATTAATACAGTCTAAACATTGACATTAAAATAAATAAGCATAGTCTGACCATAGATAATATATAAAATAATTATAGCCTGGGAAGTAAGAATAATATATATATATATATATATATATATATATATATATATATATATATATATATATATATATATATAAACCTACAGTCTGACCATTAATATTAAAATAGAAAAATCATTTTAAAATAAAACTGCAGCCTGACCATTTAAATTTCACACACAAACACACACACACATATATGTATGTATATATATATATATATATATATATATATATATATATATATATATGTGTGTGTGTGTGTGTGTGTGTGTATAAAATAGTACAGCCTAATTATTTCAATTAAATAAGAAGCTATTGTTTGGGGCTGTTTACATGAAAATAAATAAATAATAACTTGCAGATTTTTTACTGGTCATGTTTATAATAAAAATACACAACTTATGGCTGATATTTTAAATTTAGTCAATAATGAAAAAATAAACAATTTATTTTTAAATTAAATCAGTTATTTTAAAATAAACATAATAAACATCTACAGCCTCACCATTTATTTGAAAATAAGAAACAAGTGATTACAGTCTGAACATTTTTATTAAAATAAAAAAATCTACAGCCTCATAATTTATATTAAAATAAAAAATAAACAATAACAGTCTAACCATTTTTATTAAAAGAAAAAAATAAGTATCAACTGCCTCATAATTTATATTAGAATAAAAAAATAAATAATCACAGTCTGATTGTTTATAATAAAATTCACAATAAATTTCTACATCTCTCTCGCTCTCTCTCTCTCTCTCTCTCTACAGCTCAACTAAACAAAACTCATCTGGATGTGTTCACCTTCCCCAATCAGTGTGTCACTCTGTGTGTTTTACTGCCTCCATTTCTCTCCTCTATCTCTCACACACACTCACATACTTATACACACACTCACAAACACACACACTCACACACTCTCACTGCTGAGTTAATTGTTGCATTAAAGGATGTAAGGCTGCATTACTGTAGGCTTGAGTTACATTCCAACAGAGAACAGACCACTGAGTGCTGTTTAACACACACACACACACACACACACACACACACACACACACACACACACACACACTAACTTACCATACAAGAAGAAAAACACACACACATTCAGTGTACATTTATGTTGTATTAGAGGAACCGCTGGGAGACCACAACAAACAAAACTAAAGTTTATCTGGAGAGTGTGTGTGTGTGTGTGTGTGTGTGTGGGTGTGTGTGTGTGTGTGTGTGCTTGTCCTTCTCTTAAAGTCTCTAAAGTGCTTTGTTTTCAGCACGCACACATACACACACTCTGGTGTTCTCAGGTTTTGAGCTGAGCTGAAGGAGGAACTCTTACCTGAGACATCTTCTCTTCTCTCTTCTTCTCCTCTCCCGTTTTACGCTGTAGATTCCAGACGCTCTGAGAACTTTCCGGCCATTTCCTGCTCCTGTCTGTACAAGTTCTGCAGAGAGCCACCAAACACACCTACACACACACACACACTCACACAGTCACACACACACACTCTCACACATGCTGCTGCCCATCCTCCTGCACTCACACACCAAACTAAACTACTCAAGATGTGTAAGATACTCTCTCTCTCTCTCTCTCTTTCTCTATCTCTATCTCGCATACACCTCTGCAGGCCCCTCCCCTCCCCCCTGGACTCTCCCCTCCCCGGCAGGGCAGAGTCGCTCACAGCTGGCTGGACGAGGGCATGACACTCATCTTTCACACAGATTTGATCAAAAGGAATCACAAAGGCTGGAGGCAGCGCTAATGCAGTCAGGAGAGAGTCTCTCTCTCTCTCTCTTTCTCTCTCTCTCTCTCTCTCTGTCCAGCAGCTCCAGTAATGCATTAAATCAATGCAGCTCAGCACAAAGCACACTCCAATGTTGGACTGTGTGTCTGTGTGTGTATCAGAGAGAGAGAGAGAGAGAGAGAGAGTTGGTGTGTGAAGTGTCTCAACAAGTTGTACCTTGTGCGTGTGTGTGTGTGTGTGCTGAAATGTTGTGGTTTCCCTTAAACACTGAGACCTGGCTGCTTTTTGGAATCCAGTAATTCTGTGTTTCTTTTACTTGTTTTCTCATCTGATCTACAGAGAACTCTATAGATATTGTAAGCTGATGAAAAATACTTGCATAAAGGTACCTTCATTAGGTCATGACTGTGCCTTTATATAAAACACTTTAATATAACACTAAGCATGTTTTTGTGAGTGCAGACTGCATCTTCAGTAGTTATGGCTGATGTAAGCGACAAACTGCATTTCTTTCAGCCAAAACTTTACATAGTTCAGAGGTTTAGCGTTTCAAGACTTTTTGAAAACTGAGAAAGAATATAAGTCAAGAGTTCTACAGAGAAGATGTGGACACAGGGTGCAGATATTCTGTAATGAGAAACTCAGTGTAGACAGAGGAATTTGTAGAAACAGGGAGGTGTTTCGGCCATGAGTGCAGAATGCACCTTCAGTCAGTAGTTGAGGTAAGAGGATTAGTGCTGTTTAAAGGAAGGAACTCAGAGGACTTGGGCTGAAAGGATAGGCCACAGCTACACATTACCCCTTTCTGAAGGACTGGATCTGAATTGAGATGTAGCCATAGTATTCCTGAGAAGACCAGAAAAGTTGGATGGTGTGATCAGGAAGTTGCTGTCAGGAGGTGGTTCCTGTCCTGATGGAAAGTCCTGAAAACTATCCAGGAGAGTAACTGCTTATTGAGAAAAAACAACGTTGGGAGACAACTGAGCAAATTTCTGTTGCAAAAAGCAGGCTGTGTTGTAGAGTGTTTTGTGAGTGTGTTAGGTTCAAGGAGACACCAGGGAGGATGGCAGGAATTGTAGGTAGTGTTTAATGGTTGTGTATGTTGGGAAACCAAAGAATGTGAGAAAAATTGTAGCTTTTAGAGCTTTTTATGGAAGTAGCAGCTAAGACACCAGGTACTAAGTGAGTGGAGGCAATGAAAGAAGATATGTTAGGTTATGGACAGTCTGCAAGACAAAGGACATGGTTGTGGATTAATTTTAGAAGGAGGGTCACCTGAGGGTGGTTTGCAGTGGAATTAGAAGATATTGTGATGAGTCTAGCGAAAAGGCTATTTCTCAGCTGGGAAGGTGTTAAGATGGAAAACAATATTGAAAGATAAGTTTGTGTAGATGACAAATGCAGCCATGGTTGTAAGTTTTCCAAAGGAAAGGTGACACTGTGCAATTTTTGGAACTGCTGGAAGCTTTTCCAGTGTGTCTAAAATGTGGACAGAATGACTGCACTTAAAACTGTTTTCTGGGTCTGTTCCTTCACTGCATCTCAGCTTTTAAAAAACTGTGTCTGAACTATTCTATTCAGGTGCTAAGGCTCTGGATTTCTGGGATTGGAAACAGTACAAATGATCAGCTGTGTCATTTAAGTGATTTAGAATGTGAATGGTTCTGAGGATGAACTGATGAATGCCAGGTAAGGTTGTAAAACTGCCATAAGAATAAAAGATTTGGAAGGTCTGTTATTGATAATGTGGAGAAAATTTGATGGCCAGGTAAAGTTAAAATAAAAGCATCCTTAGAAACCTTAGAAGCTACACCGTTAAAAAGCTGAAGGTCTTTGGGGACACAGATAGTGATACTGTACCCATGCTGAAGAAGAATAAGCCAAAACTAAAAGCTCCATAAGGTCAGGGCTGTCTAAAGATGGACAAACAAAGTAAGATTAAGAAAGTTGGAGATGAAAGAGCATTCCTGGAAAGAGCTGAGGTTTGGTGCAGCAGGGTAGTCAACAAATTGAGGACAGGGTAATTCAGTTGAGCTTAGAATGCAGGACAGAGGTGTAGAAAGCAATGGTATCTAGAAGAGGGGTCCATTTTTTTCCAAGAATGGGGGAATCCAAAGTGCAGCACCTCTGATTCTGGAGAGGAAGTTCTGACAAAGAGTTGAGGGATTCCAGTAAATAACAGGTGAATTAATAACTAGGTAGAGGAAGAGTGCCTCAGCCAGTAAAAAGTTGTTGACTGGTTTGAACAGAAATTTAAGGAGTTAACTTTCCCAAGATTTGTGGGTGCAGCTGGACCAGACGGGCTACAGTAGGAGCAGACAGGGACAGCTAGCATGAGCCAGCCAGCTAAGCTGAAGCTAAGCTGTTCACAGCTGTCAGGGGTGCTGGAGGAAGTAAGACAAAACACTGATTTGGTGGCAGAAGCCAGAGGAGAAAGAGAGGAAGAAGGAGAAACAAGAGTGCAGAAAAAGGCAATGTGAAATGTACAACCACACAGATCACAGAAGAGGGGTGTATAACAGACAAATACACAACAGTGGTAGCTGAGTTGAAAAGGAGTCACCACACGCCAGTACCACCAAAACGTCAATTTGTCCTGCTGCCTAGATGAAAAAGCAGAGCAAGTAGCATCCTGAAATATGAAGAACACCAAAGTGATGTTTAGAACATCAGTTCTGGGGGAGCAGCAGAGACTGATGTCCACATCTTGGCGAATTTTCAGGTGCTGGCCAGAAGGGCCCAGAGAAAGGCGGTGATGTTGGCCAGGAGGAAGGAATGGTGGAGAGGGTAAAAGTTTGAGTTGGTGGGAAAGAGTTGCAATAGTGGCTGGCATAGGTGGAACAGAAATGGAACAGGAAGCTTAAGTGAGAGGGACGGATGAAAGAGTTTGGGATGAAGGGGGAGGAGTCAAACTGAATAGTAAGAGTGAGAGAAGAGATTGTCATTGGAGGTGATGAAGTCCAGGTCAATCTACAGTGCTAATTGTTGTTGCAAACATTTTGTTACGGTAAACTGAACATAAAGGAGGAATTTATAGGATAGAAAGGAAGTTTCAGATGTGTTTCCCCCAAATATCAGCTGTTTCATAACATCTTTAATTTAATTTAATCTTTACAAAAAAGATTTCTTATTTTAATAGTAACACACAAATAACACATTTTGACTAAAACACATTGAAACATTGATTAGACACATTAGGAAGACCTTTAGAATCACAGTCAAAAATTCTTACAGCAGATGTGTGCAAGTCCGAAGGACAGAAGCGTTGAGCTGCAGTGTTAATAAGGACAGAAGTGTTGATCTGCAGTGTTAATGAGGACATAAGCTGCAGTATGAATGAGGACAGAAGTGTTGATCTGCAGTGTGAATGATGACATGAGCAGCACCAAGGAAAGAAGTGTTGGGCTGTAGTGTTAATGAGGACAGAAGTGTTGATCTGCAGTGTTAATGAGGACAGAAGTGTTGAGCTGCAGTGTGAATGATGTCATGAGCAGCACCAAGGAAAGAAGTGTTGGGCTGTAGTGTTAATGAGGACAGAAGTGTCGAGCTGCAGTGTTAATGAAGACAAGTGTTGAGCTGCAGTGTTAATGTGGACAGAAGTGTTGAGCTGCAGTGTTAATGAAGACAGAAGTGTTGAGCTGCAGGGTTAATGTGGACAGAAACGTTAAGCTGCAGTGTTAATGAAGACAGAAATGTTGAGCTGCAGTGTTAATGTGGACAGAGGTGTTGAGCTGCAGTGTTAATGTGAAGTGTTGATCTGCATTGTTAACAAGGAAAAATGTTGAGCTGCATTGTTGATGATGACAGAAGTGTTGATCTGCAGTGTTAATGAAGACAGATCCATTGAGCTGCCGTGTTAATGAGGACATGAGCTGCAGTGTTAATGAGAATTGAAGTGTCAAGCTGCAGTGTTAATGAGGAAAAAAGTGTTGATATGCAGTGTTAATGAGGTCAGAAGCATTGAACTGCAGTGTTAATGAGGACAGAAGTGTTGAGCTACAGTGTTAATGAGGACAGAAGTGTTGAGCTGCAGTGCTAATGAGGACAAAAGTGCAGATCTGCAGTGTTAATGAGGACAGAAGTGTTGATATGCAAAGTTAATGAGGACAGAAGCATTGAACTGCAGTGTTAATGAGGACATGAGCTGCAGTATTAATGAGGATTGAAGTGTCAAGCTGCAGTGTTAATAAGAAAAAAAAGTGTTGAGCTGCAGTGTTAATGAGGACAGAAGCTTTAAGCTGTAGGTATTAAACAGCAGGGCTGAAGTGAGCATTTAGATGTAAAGCTGTGTAGTTTCTGAGGTAACCTCATTAGGTGTGGTGTTTAATCCAGTGCGAGTCTGAGCAGGTCACACACACACACACACACACACACAATGTGGAGGCTGATGTTTTTGCCCTCCAGAAGCTCATGCCAATCAGATGCCATGAAACGAAATCGTAAAGCAGTAACTATTAATGTGTGACTAATAAACCTTGAGAAATTCATTTAAATCTGCATTACTACCCGAAGATCAAAGCTTTATTTGTAAGAGGCCAGATTTGATGAGGTCACCCAGGAGAGTTCCAGAGCAAAAAAAAAATCCAGAAAAATCCACATGGAGAAGCTGCTGGATGGAAGATGCTGTTTTCTGACAGAATCCCTGAAGCCTGGAGCGCACACACACACACCATCTCAAACTGTGTGTGCACAAATTGTTTATTGAAAAAAAATCACATTTCTCCAGACTAAAGGTGGGTGAATTACAGGCATTTAGGATTCAATATAGATTACACTTTTTAAAAAGATGTTTATTAAGGGTCCTTTAATAAAGATGATGGTTCTATACAAAACCATGAACACTCAAAAAACATTTGCATTCTTAAATGGTTTTCTGCATTGTGAAATGTTTCTTCAGATTGTTAGAGAATGTGTTGTGGTTCTATATAGCACCTGACAGAGCTCTGCTATTGCTACAATGACAAGCTTTTAGACAATAGACGAAACCTTTTTGGTGCTATATCGAACCATTTTCAAAAATATGATTCTATATAGAGTAACCTATCCAGATAATTAATTAGTTAATAAGATGAATCAGATGTATGTGTGACCAGTGCTGAGATTGAGAACTCCAAGGTTAAAGTTGGATTAG